TTATCTTGTTCCCGACTTGAGAGACTACTTTATCAAACTGTACACTCTTTATGATAATTTAGAGATATGAAAAATATAACCCATATATCATTCCTTCCTTCACCTTTAAGATTCCTACCTCCTTTTTCACTGTCGTAGTGTGAAGCATCAAACTGAGCATCATCGTTAGGGAGCTGCACACTGGCTATCACAAGGTGGTTTTGTTCATCTGACGTGTGTGTCCCCAGGACAAGTCGATGAATACTGAAATCTTTCCCTTCTGGTCTGTAATAGGAATATATGGTCAGTATTCAAATCAGTACGCTAAGAGAGACTACAAAGTCAGTGACATACATGTATGCACAAGGCACTATTACAACCAGGTTTTGAGAAGAAGTCATTAAGAGCCATAGTTCCTACTTTTCACATATCTTCCATAGAGCTGAGTATAAGGACCACAGAGCACTTAATTTCATAATTATTTCTTAACTTAGCCAAATATTTACAATTACTTTGAGGAAAAAGTCTGATGGAATAAAATACGAATTAGCTACTCACCCTTTACAAGGAGTTGGAGGGAAAGAAACCAATTGGTGGGTATACTACCACTTTAGGTTACTTCATTAGGTTAACGTCATTAAAAGGGAAAGGAAGTAACATCAGGCAAACTAACTGTTCAAATACTACTGAAGCACAAAGATGATTAAGATGTGATTCATATCCTCAAAAAACCAGGGACAATTAAACAGTCATATACACAAACATTTTAAACACAAGTCAACATATAATTCATGAAAAGTACCCAAGAACATGGAAATTTAGATACGAAAGATTACTTCTGGAATAAAGGACACATTCTTAGAAGAAGTGTTACCTGAGCAGGTCTCAAAATGAGAGATAATCTAGAAGAGGGGGACAAGGGCTTTGGAAGACAGTATTCTAAGGGAAGTAAGCAAAGGGAAGATTACAAAGCACCAGACACCACGTTAAGCATTTCACATACCTCATATCACTTAAACACCATAACAACACTCTGAAGTACTATTCTAATTTAAAGATGGTTTGGGAAAATTAAGCAACTTGCCTAAGATCACAACTGCCAACTAACAGAACTAGAACTGAAGTCCAAATCTGACTTTGAATGTGGGAAAACAAAGTGAGAGAGAAGGCTAGAAAGCAGATTAAAATGAGACTCTAGGGTACTGAATGCCAGCTTAAGGCATTCTGGACTCTTTACTGTAAGGAACAAAGAACCATAGAAAATTTATAAGGGACATAGCATCATCAGAGTTACCTCAGAAGGATTAATTTAACAGTGTAAAGCAGAGGTTCTTCAAGCGTGGTATCAGGAACAATAGCATCAACATCATCTGGGAACTTGAGCATGCAAATTCTGAGATCCACTATAGACCTACTCAATCTGAAACTTGGGGGGGGGGGATGGTTTGTGGTGCTCAACAATCTGTTCTGCAGGGAATTCCTTGGTTGTCCAGTGGTTAGGACTCAGTGCTTTCACTGCCATGGCCCGGGTTCAATCCCTGGTCAGGGAACTAAGATCCCCCAAGCTGCAAGGCGTGGTCAATTGAAAAAAAAAAAAATCTGTTTTACAATCCCTCCAGCTGATTATGATGCCTGTTAAAGTTCTAGAACCCATGGTCTAGATGGGAAAGATGCTACACAAGAATTGATCAGGGCTTATAAATGGACTGTCAAGTGGATAAAGGGGGAAAAAATCTAAGAAATGTCAAACCAAAGTCAACTATGAAAAGGAGAAATGGGAACAATAGAAAAAGTTGGGTTGGGACCTCCATGGAAAAAATATACTCAGTTTGAAATATGTCATGTTGGGGAAGCCAATAAAATACTCCAGATAAGATAGCTGAAAATTCAGGTAGCGCTCAGAAGTTGGGTCTGGAGATAAATCAACAGAAATTCCTCTGCACAGAGTTAATAGGTGTCTACATCTTACATGGGAAAAAACAGAGGAAAGATAAGAGGGCTGTCAACATAAAGTTGGGGATACCTGCATTCAGAAAGTTAAAGACTCAGAGCAAGTGAGGGAGGGAAGAATATTATAAAACTACGATTGTATGGTTTTTTGTTTTTGTGTTTAGAAACAAAATATGAATAAAAAAGAACACACACACACACAGTAAACAGTAGACATTAGAGACAGTTGCTTAAAGGACCCCTCATTCTAAAAAAATAAGTAAATGACATTGTTATTCGAGCAGAATACAAAAAAAAAGGGGGGAAGGATATCTGGACCAATGTCAAATACTGCAGAAAGATTTATTTACCTCAATTCATAAAGTAGAAAGCTACTAAAACTACAGAACAGATTTCAGCCTTGGGTTATTTAGTCTTATTCACCGCTTTCCAAACATAGCTAATCACATTATATGGAAAGCTTTTCTAGAATGACTTAGTAGGTATGGGGTGCCCAATATTTGGGATCCTCTGGTCCAATATCATTTAGCACATGTCTACAGTAAATCTGGAATCACCATTCAACTATTCTCAAGTATCCTGCCGCAAGTTCCTAAGAGGTTTGAACTGAGAACTCCTGACAGAAATGACTCCACTTATCCTGAACTCAAGTAATTCTGATGATCAGCTGAATATGGGACCTCCTGGTCCTGATAAACCAGCTTCCAGCTCTAAATTTCTAAGTACTTATTAACATACTTAGGACAGATGTCGCCATTTTTTTTTAAAAAAATGCCAATGTGAAGGCAGCAGGCTTATTCTTAAGTTATTAATAACATTTATATAAAACTTGTTGAGCTGAAACGTAGCCAAATAACCACAATTCGCAAATATCTTGACTTCTAAAGACCTGAGTTTTGAAGGAATTTACTTACTTAGTACACATATAGAATTTCTAAATGTTGTTCTGAATGGCAGGTACCATGTCACATTCACCTTTGCATTAACCAGCTACTACCAATGACTGTGAGATTCAAATTTCTTTTGTTGAAAGAACTGGACTCATCATAATACTTTTTGAAAGCTGACAAACTTTACATTACTGTTTGGTCAACTATAGTTATAATACGGCTATTCAATTCAGAATCAGATAAAGAAGACAACATGTTTTCTCTTATCAGGTAAACTGCAAAGTAGTTTTACATTTTGCCTTTTTTGGCCTAGAAAAAAAATGTCACCACTAGGTTCTGATCACGTGTCCGCTACGGGTGACTGGAGAAAAGAAAAACAGGGAAAATCAATGCAAGAAATCTACACCGAGAACACAACAAAATAACGTTCAAAAGATTCCTATCACCTGGTTACATCAGGAAGCCACTGTGCAGTTAGGCTGGGCCACTCCAGAGCATGGGTCATCACCAAATCGTAAAGAAAAGGAGTGTTCTTTTTCCATATTTTGTATTCTTCATTGATCACACGTTCTTCGACTGCGTCATCAAAGGCTGCTAAAACATTAAAAACAAATTTAAGTTAGCGACCACAAATGGAAACCGAGTAAACACTTCCAAAGCTACCGGCACGGCTCCAGAATCCCGGTTCTGAAATGGAGGTTTGTCTAAATCTCCCCGAGGCGCAGGCACCAACACCGCTCTCCAGCTTCACGGGGCCTAACTGCTGGGGTCATCCCGGCCAGACGCCGTTAGCCGTTCGGGCGACGGCGTCGGCAGAACAGAACCCGCGAGGAGGCCCGAACACCGATCCCTGCGGGTAGCGAGCGCTGCAAAGAAGACCCGGAGAGAGACAGGTAGACCGACAGGGAGCGCGGGGAGGGACCAAACACCCGCCGGGGCCCCCACCGCCACCCTCCCGCCGCTGCGCCGGGCCTCCGCTCCCGAGGAGCTGGCGCGCCGTTAGCCCTCCCCGCGGGGCGATTTCTCCTCACGCCTGCGATGGCGGGTACGGCACTCAGCAGAGTCCAGCCTGTCCTCACTGTTAGGCCGTGTCGAGGCCGCTACGCAAGCCCGGCACCCCCGCTCTCCTGTGGCCGCCCCGGCACCCTCACCTTCCTTGTCGGCCATGGCGGGCAGGCAAGCCGCGGGGATCGGGTTGAGCTTTGAGAGAGGGGCGGGGAGGCTGCGGGCGCTCGCTCTGCGCGCGCGGCCTCTATTGTTTCCTGCTGCCCCTGATTGAGGGCCGACTCGCGCACCTTCGCGCCAACACCGGCCAATCGGAGCGCGCTGAGCGGCGAGGTGGGCGGGGAAGCCGCGTTCGTAGCCTATCCAGACGCGCAGAGTCGCTTGCCGCGGGGTCGAAGCGCGCGCTCCTCCCCTGCCCCCACAAGGCCCGGAGCCGACTTCCTTCGATTGCGCGCGCGCGGGGTTGGTGAGAGTGCGCCTCTCGAGATCACGTGAGAGGTTTAGTCCGCACGCTCCTGGGTGCAGCCATTTTCTTGAAGGGTGTTAAGCTAGCGATCCCTTCCAAGTAGGACTTTAGATGAGGAGTCTAAGATGTTTTCGGGTCTAGTTGTCAACTCTGGGGGTGAGGCTGCAAGAAAAGGCTTCTATCAGACCTCGAGATGTCTAATTCAAGTGTCCCTTTCTCCTAGGTCCTCCAGTTTATTTGTTCCCTTAGTTGTTAGAAAGAACTATTGATGAAGCAAGCCCAAAAAAGTGGGCCTTGGACTTTTTTTTTTTTTTTTTTTGCGATACGTGGGCCTCTCACCGTTGCGGCCTCTCCCGCTGCGGAGCACAGGCTCCGGACGCGCAGGCCCAGCGGCCACGGCGGGCCCAGCCGCTTCGCGGCACGCGGGATCCTCCCGGACCGGGGCACGAACCCGCGTCCCCCGCATCGGCAGGCGGACTCCCAACCCCTGCGCCACCGGGGAAGCCCAGACCTTGGACTTTTAAAGATCTCCTCCAAGCGGCGGGACCTAGGACGGAAGTCTTAGGGGATTAAGTTAAGTCCTCGAGAATGGAGTCCTGGCCCTTTAAGGGTGTGTGTCAAGGGGCGGAGTCTAGGACGGAAGTTGGAAGTCCGGGCCGAAGTCCGGCTGACGAAGGGCGGAAGTTGAGTTTGGGGCCCAAGCCGCAATCATGGCGCTGGAAAGGGAAGATGTTAGAGATTACAATTTGACTGAGGAGCAGAAGGCGATCAAGGCCAAGTATCCTCCAGTCGTTCGGAAGTACGAGTGTGAGTAGGCTCACTTCTCTCCTTGCCGGGGGCTTCCGGCTTCCTCTTCCACTTTGCCCCATAGGGTGGCTCAGGCGTTCCCGTTTTGCCCTTTTATTGTAGGCTTTTCTGTACTTCTCTGGGGAACGCTGAAGGCTAAAGCCTCCTGGTCTGAAAGTCGGGAAACCCTGGCTCCCACATTTACAGCCTTCTGAACTTTTTCTGCATATGCCTAATTACATTTATCTTGTGGGAATTTTACTTCCGTATTAATTCTGAAGGTAACGTATTTTCAAGCGTTTGAGGGGTTGTCGCCCCCAAGTATCTCCCTCCAACTGTGGGATAGTTAGAGTGTGCCTAGGGTAGAGGACTCGGAAAGCTCTGAGTAGGGGACTTCTAAATTGGTGTTTTACCTGTATCGTGTTGTTAGCAAAAAGACCTGGTTTTGTCATTTTTAGCTTAGTGACTTTAGGCAAAAAAATCACATAACCTCTTTGCACTCAGTTCCTTCATGTGAGGGATAAATGAGATAATAATAAATGTGAAAGTATAGTGCAGACTCTGAAGTTCTACATAAACGTTAAGCTGCCGTCCCTAAAGGTGGATGTGGTTTGGGGAGCACAAGTCTGGCTCTTATTTCCTTTAAGAAGTTCTTTCATTGATTTCCCATTGTCCTCGGTATAGAGTCCAACTATTTACCATAGCATACTAGGCTCTGTACTTTCTGGACCGTGCATATCTCCCTAGCTCACTGTCTCTCACTTAATTTTTAAAAAATTACTTTTAATAGGTCATATATATGATTTAGAATTCAAAAAATACAACAGGTATGCAGCAAAAAGTCTTTCTTTCAGCCCTGATCCCCAGTCCCTTAGTCTTGCTATCCAGATCGACCATCCTTAACATTTTCTTATGTGTACATGCAAAGGTGTATGTTTACTTAATTTACTTAACCAATTTCTAGTTGATGGACATTTATACTTATACTCGTTTGCCAATAAAAATAATGCAGCAGTGGATATACCTGTGCATCCATTGTTTGGCACATGTGCACGTGTATCTGTAGAATAAACTTCCAAAAGTTACATTGCTTTTTCAAAGGGTATCTGCATTTTATCAGTGTTTTTTAAAATTGAAGTATAGTTGGTGTACAATGTTGTGTGAATTTCTGCTGTACAGCCAAGTGATCCAGTTATACAGACATTCTTTTTGATATCTGCATTTTAAACTTCAACAGTTATTGCCAAATTGCTCTCCATTGAGGTTGTGCCAGTTTATACCCTTGCTAGCATTGTGTGTGTGCCTTTTTTCTTTCCTTTTAAGAAGGCTGAATTCTTTTTTTTAAGTTCATTTTAAAATTTATTTTTACTTTTTAAAATTTATTTATTTTTTGGCTGCGCTGTGCTGCACGGCAAGGTGCAATCTTAGTTTCCCGACCAGGGAGTGAACCCGTGCCCCCTGCATTGGAAGTGCAGTCTTAACCACTGGACCACCAGGGAAGTCATGACTGTGCCTCTTTTCTCACACTTTTACCAATTTACTGTGTTACCACACTTTTTGATCTTTTCCAGTCTGTTAAGTATCTTATACTAACTGCATTTTACTTATAAGTGAGGCTGAACGTATTTTAGTATGTTTGGAGTTATTTGTATTTACCTTCTGGAATGTGTATATTCATATTTTTAACCCATTTTTTCTATTGGATTGTTGGTCTTTTTTTACTGTGCAGAAGTTTATTTTTATGTAGTGAAATTTGTTAACCCTTTTTATGGCTACTGGGATATCATACTTAAGAAGGCATTTCTCGCTCTGGGACTGTAAATTAATTCTCCCGTGTTTTCTTCTAGTACATTTGAAAATAAAATTTTTTTTTTCTTAGGCCATACCACATGGCTTGTGGGATGTGGGATTTTAGTTCCCCGCCCAGGGATTGAACCTGGGCCCTCGGCAGTGAGAGCACAGAGTCCTGACCACTGGACTGCCAGGGAATTCCCAAAAATAAAACTTACATTTTAGTATAAGATACATATAGAAGAGTGCACATGTTACAAATGAATTTTTGCAAACTGAATACACCTGTATAACTAGTAACCAGATCAAAAAACAGAATGTTACAGCATCCCTGAAGACCCTCTCATGCTCCTTTCTCCTCTCTCCCTATTTTTCCCATTAGCCTGACTACTAACACCATACATGAGCTTTGCATGTTTTTGTACATAATCTAAATGGAATCATGTAGTATGTATTCCTTTTGTGTTTGGCTTTTTTTGGCTCATATTTGTGAGAACCATATTTTTGCTAATAGTTATAGATTGTTCATGTTTCTAGTATTTATGGTTTTTAAAAATATATATATTTAAATTTTGAATACCTTAGGATTAGGGTAAGGTGGAAATTAATTATCAATATCTGATCATTATTTTCCAGATGCTATAAAATCATTTATCAACAGTCTGTCTTTTCCCCTGTGATTGAAATATGACATCTTTATCGTATACAGAATTCCTCTAACTATATTTAGGTCTATAGCTGGACTTACTATTCTATTCCTTTGTTTTAGCTCTCTTTTTATGTGCCAGTGCCACATTTTAAATTATTGAGGCTTTATTGTATCTTTTAATATCTTCTAGGACAATCTCCCTCTCTGTACTTACTCCTTTCCTGCCATTCTTATTGTTTTTATTTTTTTCTCTATATGTAGATAAAAATCAGCTTGTGAAGATCCATAAGAATTACTGTTGGTATCCCCTCCCCCCTTTTAATCATTTGTTTCATCTTCTCTCCAACCTGAGGCTACTTAGGGGCCCAACCCTGAATCACCTTATTAGCATAGACTCAAGTGTGGTCAGACGGGGCACTTTATGAATAACACTGAGTGACACTCCTGTCACTCAGAAAATTCCCAGGATTTTAAGAGCTCTGTTCCAGGAACCAGGGACAAAGACCAAGTATATATTTTCTTTATACCACAAAAACATTCAGTGAAAAGCAGCAATTAGGAATGAGAGAAAAGGGCTTCCCTGGTGGCACAGTGATTAAGAATCCGCCTGCCAATGCAGGGGACATGGGTTCGAGCCCTGGTCCAGGAAGATTCCACATGCCATGGAGCAAGTAAGCCCATGCACCGCAACTACTGAGCCCATGCACCGCAACTACCGACCCTGCGAGCCACAACTACTGAGCGCATGTGCCTCAACTACTGAAGCCCGCATGCATAGAGCCCATGCTCTGCAACAGGAGAAGCCACTGCAATGAGAAGCCCATGCACTGCGACAAAGAGTAGCCCCCACTCGCAGAAACTAGAGAAAGCCCACATGCAGCAACAAACACCCAACGCAGCCAAAAATAAATAAATAAATAAATTTATATTAAAAAAGAATGAGGAAAAAATAAACAATAGTGTATTTTTGAGAAATAGTTGAGAAACGACCATTTGCTCAAAAATCCTGTTAACATTTTGTTTGGGAATTCCCTGGCCGTCCAGTGGTTAGGACTCAGTACTTTCACTGCTGGGCTGGGGTTCAATCCCTTTCCGGGGAACTAAGATCCCACAAGCCATGCAGTGAGGCAAAAAACCGAAAAAAAATAACATTTTTATGTTATGCCTCATGATTACATCTATGGAGATGATGTAATCTGTTTCCTAAGAATTGAATCTTTGAATTCCAGGGATAAATCCCACTTGGTCATTCTGGATTCTACTTGCCCAACATTTTGTACAGAATCTTGGCATTGATGTAATGTGAGATTAGTCTGTGTTTTCTTCCAGCTTCATTTCTTGCCACTGACTACCCCCAGATCTACCCCAAGCTCTCCCTGTAGCCCTGTTTTTCCTTTAAGACTCAGCTCAATTGTCATCTCATTTATTCATTCAGCAACATTATTGAGCACCTGTTGTGTATCAGACACTGAGTGGAAACTGGGAATAAATGAGTGAGCAGATAGATAAAGATCATCCTTAAGTCTCTTGGCACATAAAGTGTTAAGTCTTGTTTCCTTTGGGAATTCTTACCTGAACCTCTTAGTCTAGCTTAGTTTATCTCTTATGCTCTCCTATAATAGAATTTTCAAAGTGGGTGGTCTCTAGAACCGAGGTTTCCGCAGACTTTTTTCAAAGGATCTGTGAAGTTAAAACTACTTTCTTAATAATACTAGATGTTACTTGCTCTTTTCACTGTGTTGTTATTTGCACTGGTGGTGCAGAAGCAGTAATAGGTAAAAGTCCTGGCCCCTTGGCACAAATTGAGGCAGTGGCACCAAACTGTATTGGTAGCCATTGTATTATTTACCATTATGTACTTATAATTAAAAAAAGAAAAAGTCGTTTTTACTTAAAAATGTCCTTGATGACTTGGCAAGAACTGTTAATCTTATTAAATATTAACCATTGAATACACGCGTTTTTAATATTCTGTGTAACAAAATGGGAAGTATGCAGTAGTGTTTCTGCTGCTTCTCAAAGTATTGATGCTTACCTTGAGGAAAAGAACTTCTGTGATTGTTTGAGTTGTGAGATGCCTTTTTTCTCGGAACACTATTTTTTCTCAAAAGAATGACTGAAAGACATACTATTGTTATTCAGACTTGGGTATTTCCAATATCTTCTTGAAAATAATCTGTCACATCAAGGAAGATAACAATATTTGTTGGTATATTGATAATGTATATTATATAATGATAAAATTCAAGCTTTCAAGTGAAATCAGAATTTTGGAAAACTTGTATCTGCCATCATGAGCTTCACGGTTTCCCAGTGCTTAAAGAATTTTCTGATGAGATTGGAGGTGATATTAACAAATAGATTTTTAAAAATTCTATAGAATGTGTCAACATCGATGAACTGGTATTTTCCCAAAAAACCAATGCTTGATATTACACAGTCAGGCATAGATAAGATCTGTTCTAAGCACAAGATAGAGCAATGGATTTTAATGTTACAGAGTTCGAAAAATTCACTGTTAAAGCCTCAGATTCTGCATTGCAACTAACCTTTAAAAAACCACCAGTTTCTAGTTTTGGTGAAGGAAGACTATATACAATATTTTTTCCTTACTCCGGCTGTGTTGCCCATATGCATTTTTAAAATAAATTTATTTATTTATGTATTTATTTTTGGCTGCATCAGGTCTTCATTGCTGCGGGCAGGCTTTCTCTAGTTGCGGCGAGTGGAGGCTCTTCCTTGTTGCGGTGCGTGGATTTCTCATTGCGGTGGCTTCTCTTGCCTTGGAGCACAGGCTCTAGGCACACGGGCTTCAGTAGTTGTGGCTCGTGGACTCTAGAGAGCAGGCTCAGTAGTTGTGGCGCATGGGCTTAGTTGCTCCACGGCATGTGGGATCTTCCTGGACCAGGGCTCGAACCCATGTCCTCTGGATTGGCAGGTGGATTCTTAATGACTGTGCCACCAGGGAAGTCCACATTTTTTTTTTTAGTTCTTAAAATACTCTTTTTTCCTCCTGCATATCTGTGAGATTGCAGCACACTGAAAAGCCAGACATTAAAAATACTTGGAGAGGGCTTCCCTGGTGGCGCAGTGCTTGAGAGTCCGCCTGCCGATGCAGGAGACGCGGGTTCGTGCCCCGTTTCGGGAGGATCCCACATGCCGCGGAAAAAAAAAAAAAAAAAAAAAAAAAAAAAATACTTGGAGAAATGCTAAACAGCACCACTCTTCTCACTACATTTTTTGAAAATGTAGTCATTTTTCATAAAAATATATAATTTATGTTAAATAAAATGGGCTTATTATTTGTATTTATTTATTTATTATTTTTGGCTGCATTGGGTCTTCGTTGCTGCTCTGGGGCTTTATCTAGTTGCAGCGAAAGGGGGCTATTGTTGAAGCGCGCAGGCTTCTCATTGCAGTGGCTTCTCTTGTTGCAGACCTTGGGCTCTAGGCACGTGGGCTTCAGTAGTTGCAGCCGTGGGCCCTATAGCACTTGAGCTTCAGTAGTTGCGGCACGTGGACTCAGTAGTTGTGGTGCTTGGGGCTCTAGGCCGCATGGGCTTCTGTAGTTGTGGCGTGCATTGGCAGGTGGAATGTTAACCACTGCACCACCGGCGAAGTCCCTGGGCTTATTATTTTTAAGTGAATTAATACATACTTAAAATTTTTTTCAGTTAAAATTTCTAGGTTAATATTGCCAGATACAACCCATATAAACAAAAGCTCTTTGGGTCCTCAGTAATTTTTAAGAGAATGAAGTGTTCCTGAGACCAAAAAATTTGAGAACCACTGCCCTGTAGCAATCTGTCATTGTCTCTTTAAACCGTCTTTTAAAAAATTGAGGTACAATTTACATGTTATAAAAGTGCTCACATCTTAAGTATAAAGTCCAATGAGTTTTGATAAACAAATGACATCTGTGTAACCAATACTTGAGTCAACCTCTAGAACATTTCTGTCACCCTAGAAAGTTCCCTTTGCTCCTTTCCAGTTAGTCCCCTAGCCCCTTACCTTGAGGGCAAGAACTGCTCTGATTCCTATCACCACAGTTTACTTTTGTTTTAGAGTTTTGTATAAGTGGAATCACACAGTATAGATTCTTTTCTGTCTGGCTTCTTCACTCAGTATCAAACACAGCTAGACGTTAAAGTGGTGAATGGATTTTATTCAGTAACTACTGACAGCAGGGGAAAGAGGTGAGCTCCCTGACTCTTGTTAATGCATTGTATCAGTAGTTCATGCTTCTTTATTGCTTAGTAGTGTGGCATTGTATTCCTCAGTTTGTTTATCCTTTCTCTTGATGGATATGGGGTTTTTAATTTGGGGGAATAAAATTGCTGTGAACCTTCTATGTCCTTTTGTGGCCACATACTTTCATTTCTCTAGGGTTAATACCTGTTATTTTCTTTTAACTTGTTTGTCATCTCTGCTGATCATTGAGCCTCTTAATGCCTAAAATGTATTGAGTTCTCAGTAATATTCTGAGTAAATTAAAGATGAGCTTAAACCTCGAGTGTTACCAGAACAAGATGTGTTATGTAAACGGCACTAAACCGGGAGTCAGAAAATCTCAATTCTAGTCCCAACTCTAATCAGCAGTGTAGTCCTAAACAAGTCGCACAATCTCTCTGGATTTCAGGTTTCTTCTTGTAATTGAAGGAATTCTGTTAAATGAACTCTAAGACTTTGTTGTAACCTGAATATTCTATGATTCTAAGCAGGAAGAATTGATAAAAGTCAGGTAAGAGTGAAGGATAGACTCTAAAATCATTTTTTTTTAATTAGTTAATTTTTAAAATTTTGGCTGCACTGGGTCTTCATTGTGGCACTTGGGCTTCTCTAGTTGTGGCGCGTGGGCTTAGTTGCCCTTTGGCATGTGGGATCTTAGTTCCCTGACCAGAGATCGAGCTCACATCCCTTGCCTTGGAAGGCAGATTCTTAACCAGTGGACCACCAGGGAAGTCCTGACTCTGAAATCTTGAGATAACAGATCCAATGGGAACTTGCTGTAGTAGCAGTTGTTATTTCCTGGTGTTGCTGTGAGAATATCAGGAAAAAGCTCATAATACATATTGTAGAGTTTACTTTCCAAAACTGTTTTATTGGTCAAGGATATCATTGAGGAGTCCTTCAAATGAAAGAAATCAACAAATATAAAACTTGGCTCTTGTTAAAAATAAAAAACTGTTTTGTCTGGGATTTGGCTAGCTGTTCATGAAAAGGTGAAATGAAATCTGGAATTTTATATCTTTGATGATGTAGTTTCTGGAATTTTGGTCATTCACACAAGTAGATATTTAGAAAAGATACTGATTTGTTGAGGAAAAGTAACTAATGGCAGAGAATGGCATTTGTTTATTGAAAAACTATGATGTATTAGACACTTTTTAGATCACCTAGAAGACCGTGGCCATGATGCCTTCCAGAAATTGTCATTCATTTAAATATAAATCTAGGCTTTTAAAAAAATAACCCTTTAGCATCAATATGCTAATATTATGGAACTATTAATTCTTTTATTTAATATTAGTTCATTTAATATTAACAGAATAATAACTGTGAATGCTTAGAAGACATTTTTTAAAATAAAAAATAACCCTTAACAGAGCAATTATCTTTTGTGTAAATGGTTAGTGAAAGGTGTGTGGCCAGCCCACATTTTCTTGCTCTTCAAGGATGATGTTCTTAGTAATGATCTAGAGTTATTTTCTTGTGATTTGCAAGTCAAGTTTAGTTACTTACAAGTGTTTTTTCCTCTCTCCCTCAGATTTGGATCATACAGCTGATGTCCAGTGAGTATAGCTAGAGTTTATGCCTTTGCAACCATGTGCTTAACATAGGAAGGCTGATGTTTTAATCTTGATGTCCCGAGTTTTAATTTTTCTCCTCCTCTTTTGGCTTCTTTAGGACATGCAAATGATGGTTTAAAGAACCTGGTTTCAGTGTCATTAAACTGATTGAGACCTTTGGTTTTGTATTTATCATGTTAATTTTATTTTGACTTTCCTGACAAGTTTTCTGCTTTGCAGTGGATTATATTACACAGGGCATGAATGTATTTCTTTAGGTTACACGCATGGGGAGATACTCTGGAGGAAGCATTTGAGCAATGTGCAATGGCCATGTTTGGTTATATGACAGATACTGGGGCAGTGGAGCCCCTCCAAGCAACAGAAGTAGAAACCCAAGGTAACCAATTTATTCACAAGGAAGAAATTGTTATAGATGTTCAGTATTTTACATAAATTCAGTATATGCTCACAGTAAGAACAACAAAATTGATTATGAGCTTGTTCTTTCAACTAGCCTAAGAAATTCATTGCACTGTTAAATTCAAACCAGTTTTTTAGAGACAAGAGTTATTAAACATGATACTGTCATGGTTCTTTTTGATCCTGTGTAGGAGATGACTTACAATCTCTTCTGTTTCACTTTTTGAATGAATGGCTTTATAAATTCAGTGCTGATGAATTCTTCATAGCCCGGGTAAGCAAAAGTTTTTCTTTTTCACTGAGCAAATGGGTTCTTACCCATATTTTATAATAAGACTAGTGATTTAAAATAGAACATGTGATGCAAAACCAAGCCATACAGATGATGAATTGCAGAAATTATAATAACCATAGGCTCTTCTTGGATAACCCGAGTTTTGCTTATGTATGTGCATTTTGTATTTAGATCTCTTATTATATACTTGTCACTGATCAGGATTGTGTGACAAGAACGCACCTATTGTCACCACTGTCTCTGCACATTTTATGTCTCCCAAGTTTGAGCTGTATTTATGTCCATCCATATGTTCCTTTTGTCCCATTTGTAATTTGGCAGTTCTGCCATGGTGACCTAAGTTTAAAACTTGATGCTTTTAGTTTTCCTTAATGTGAAAAAGGAAAAGCCAAATGGAGTTTACTTGTTGCCATCAAGCTCCAGAGGGAACACCTCTCCAACCTCATTGTTATCTAACACACATGGCCTTCCTTGCTTCCGTAATTCCTCCATTCTCTCCCTTACCAGCTCCACTACATATATTCTTCCAACTGGGTCATTCGTCCTACAGAACTGGGTCATTCGTCCTACAATATTATATAAAAATAGGCTGAGAGTTTTGTCAACTCTAAATAAATAAAGCTGAAAAAAATCCAGAGTGATTGAAATCCTAGGTCATCCTCCTCTATGTATCTTACAGAAAAATTCTTTTGACTCATATTTTTAGATTGTACATTTCCAAGAATATGTCCCTTGAATATGTAAGAAAAAACTATTTCCTTGAAATATATAGTTTGTTGTTCTGTTTTAGTTAACATTTTAGTTTTCTTTGCTTCAGAGAAGTTTTATGCTATTATCTTGAAAAGATGATAACCTAGACATGTTTTAGGAGCTGGTCTTTTATGAGCATATATTAAAATTAAAAGAAATTTTTTTTCTTCTTTAGGAAGTAAAAGTTCTTAATATTGATCAAAGAAATTTCAAATTACGGTCAATTGGGTAAGTTTTGAAAACCTTTTAAGTAGCGGGTCATGAAAGATGTTATGTTATTCTTCAGTGAACTCAGTGGGCAGGAAGACAAATAGAAATGTTAAGTCAGAAGACCAGTTGCATCCCAGTAGGGCTTTGCAGGTTAAGCTTCTTGAGATACCTAGGAGCCAGGGTTCACCTCAGGTTTGGTGGACCAGAAACTTGTCAGAATAATGTTGATGTGTGTTATTAAACAGGATTCCCTATTTGTTGATTTTTAGCACAAAAAAATATTTGCATAAAGCTTAGCTTGGTGATTAGAAATGCTGATGCATCCTTTCTTATAGATCCTCACACCTGGACTCCATTTCCTTTTATTAACAAGTTATACACTTCCTTCCAGAGTTTGCAAACACTTGATTATGGCACTTTAATTGGATTTGGTGTTTTCCGAGTTTCTTCAGTCATTTAATGATATCTTTTAGATTGTTTTTTTTTTAACAAGTCTCTGTTTATTCATACTTAGATGTAGGTTATTTTTACTCTTTTATTTTTGTGTACAGATTTACTTAACAATCACGGTTCCTAGGCCAGGTTCAGGTAACTAAAAAGCTTTTATAAGTAGTTTATATTCTCTAGACCCAAAGTATGCTGCAAACCCAGTCTGGAGCAAAATGGGAAATAACATCTTTCTAAAGATAGGCTTAGAAATCCTAATCTAGCAATTTAAGATGTTTCCTTTCTCGGGTAGTGGGGCTGAGTTATATCTTGCTGCTAGGCCACCATTCACAGGGATAGCTAAGAAAACAGGGTACAGACCACCAAAAACAAGACTAACCAATCCACCTCGTGTGAAGGTACAGGTTTCACAATGCAAATCACCTGTATTCAAAGGTAAACTTACAAAATCTTTGTAAGATACATGTGCCGTCAAAAATGGGATCTCTGCCATTGGTAAGCCAGCAGGTATATGAGCCTGTGTCACATGTAAGATTCGTCGAAAAAGACTATCTGCTATTAGGCCATAGAGGGCAGCATTAAGTCCAACATATGTTGATCCATTTTCAAGCAGATTCCTTTCTGTTTTGGAATTTGGTTAATTTTTCTGGTTACGATATCAATTAAGTTCTCCTTGACAGTATCATCTGGTTCATGATTTTCCATCTTGAGCCTTACGCTTTCCTCCCAGCACTTGCTGCCTCCTCTGGTCTTATTCAGCCACGTGAGGGCTCACTCCAACCCTTACGCAACTCTTTTAGGTTATTTTTATATAGAGCATATCTTTTCTATTTTATGTTGTTTTTTTAGTTTCTTTTTGTAAAATGAGAGCTTTTATTATCTCCTCCTCCCTTTTTTTATGGGTAAGAAAGCAGGGTTGTCCAAGGGTACTTAGCTAATAAATAGATGAACAGAATTTTAAAACTTTGCTCTTTCTACTACTGCTACTGCTTCTGCTACTGTGATCTTCAGCCACATTAGTGTTGAAGGGAGAGAGGATGCTCATCCCAGGTTCCAGGGCAGTACCTTTCTAGGGCCTTCCATGTACACACCATGGACATTTTTTGAAAAGTTATAAAATACAAACCAAGTTCAGACTGTATTACAGAATCTCGTATTTTGCCTTTATGGTGTTCAGACGTGCTTTCTCCAGTGGAAGATATTAATTAGTTCTGTAGTCCTGAGTACAGTGAAAATTTTGAACATGCTACTCTGTTATGAACCAATATTCATTAAACAATGTTTATTGAGAATCTACCTATGTACATTATACTAGGACACTTTTTTTTTTAAGAGCAACTATCAACCTTCTTGAAATGGCTATTGTACACATAAGTCCCTCAACAGCTGTATCTGCTAACAATCAAATTGAAATTTATAGCTCCCTTCCCCCTCCATCTCTTTTGGCTTTCTAGTATCTAAACCACATTTATAAGGCTTATTTTAAAATGTGGAAAGAGAGAATAAATGTTAAATCCTGGAAATCTTAATCATGTTTCACTTTTCTTTCTCAAGGTGGGGAGAAGAATTCTCATTGTCCAAGCACCCTCAGGTATGTTTTTAAATCCAGCCATTAGAAACATTTTATACTACCTTACCATAAAGTCAGTAAATGTGACAGTTAACTAGTTCTAATAAGTTGGTGTAAAGTCCTAAGTTTTTCTCAGACTAATATGACCTGTCGGGGCATATTATGTTAAAACACTGATTCCACACACCTGATTTGGAGGATTAGGAATCAGCACTTGGGTTATAGGGTCAGGTTTGTTACAGAGTTGTGGGGTGTAAAACTCCCTTTGCCTTACAGAGTTTTGATGTCCTCCCCCATAATGAAGGTGTTGGACTAGATGTTCTCTAAAGCGTCTTCTGCCTTTTGTGCTTCTCCAGCTTCAGTATTTGCCAGCATGTATGGCTTTGCTCTATACGAGTCAAATCTGTTGGAATAGGGGTAGGCAATTTTTCTCCTAATGTTTTGTGCTTTGTGGGCAGAGAATGATGGAAGAACAACTATTCAACTCTTCTCATATATAGCACTAAACAGCCAAGGACAACACATTAATGAATGAATGTGGATGTGTTCCAGTAAGACTTTTTTTAAACATTTCCTCCACTACTATTTAGAAATGTAAAAACCGGGCTTCCCTGGTGGCGCAGTGGTTGAGAGTCCGCCTGCCGATGCAGGGGACACGGGTTCGTGCCCCAGCCCAGAAGATCCCACATGCCGCGGAGCGGCTGGGCCCGTGAGCCATGGCCGCTGAGCCTGTGCGTCCGGAGCCTGTGCTCCGCAACGGGAGAGGCCACAACAGTGAGAGGCCCGCGTACGGAAAAAAAAAAAAAAAAAAAGAAATGTAAAAACCATTCTTAGTTTGTGGGGCTGTACAACAGTAGGTGGCAGGCTGGATTTGGCCTTCAATTTGTAGTTCACTGACCCCTGTGTTTAGGCCAAGGAGACCTAAGTTAGTTGGAGGTGACTGGAAAATCCTGTTTGCTTCCGGTAGCTGCAATAGAATTTCTTCAACCACAGTGCAATAAAATGAAGCCTGGTGAGGGAGCCTTGGGGAAGAGAAGCATAAAACGAACAGAAGCTAGTAGAGGGGGAGCATGTGGATTGAAAACAAATTATTTTTATAATACAAATGACAGTGGCATTTTCTTTTGAGTATGTTATATTTGAGATACCTATTAGACATCTAAACGGAGATGTTGGATAATAGGCATTTGACTGCCATTCAGAGAAGGGAATAGGCCGAGTTCCCAGGGCCCAGGTTCGACTGTATGGAAGAAGCCTTAAGAAGGAGCCCTGACCCAAACAGTAGGAAAGCTTTGTGTTCTTGGATTCAACCCATCTGATAAATGAAAAAGCTGATGCCCAAAGAGGTCAGACAGCTTCTGTATCCAGTTGCAAACAAAGCCAGGACTATAGTATGCTTCGTCTCCTAACTCAGTGATTTTTCTGCTGTACATATTTGCCTCTCATTTTTACTGGATCAGTGGATAATACTATACTAATTTGATAACTAATTGTTTCGTCTGAGTTTTTCAGACCAATATTAGAATTTTGACTTTCTGCCAATTGTTGCTAGAGTTAATGATTCTGATTTTGATGTTCTTTTTCTTCCTGTTTTTTCTTTAACCCCAACTTCAGGGAACTGAAGTCAAGGCAATAACATATTCAGCAATGCAGGTCTATAATGAAGAGAAGCCAGAAGTTTTTGTGATCATTGACATTTAAGACACACACAAAAAAGAGACTCCCTATGAAGAACTGTTTTTTCTCTTCCTTTTGAGAAGATACCATGATACCATGATATAAATTCTACAGTATCTTAATATATGGAGATTTGCAGAACAGAAATTTTTAACTTAAAGTGTGACTTTCAGAAATGGGAAATCTAGGTAAAGCCTTGGTCTGTGTTATCCAAATATTCAAAGTTTAAAGAAACCTTTAGGTGCCAAGTATGGTTCCTCATTTGTTAATTCCCTGCTGTAGCAGCAGGTGCCTTACACCCTTCCCATGGAATGCCAGCCCTCCAGCCTGGTCCCAAAAAGGATCATTGATCTAAGAGCAGTCTGAGAGACTCTGAAGCCCCCATGCTCTTACTGAATGCAGCTTGAAAAAAAAGAAATTTGAGGAATCCTACAACCAGGATTTTCCTTTTCTTCCAAATTGGTTAACACATATATTTTCTATACGTACATGAAAAGAGGTCGTTTTAGATTGCTGTGGGAAAGAGCCATCCTGTATTCCAGTTGGTTTTCTCAGATGAAACAATTATAGTTGAACAGTTGGAAGGCTTCTCTAGAAAGAGCCCTGATTTACTGTTCTCACTTTTTTTTAAGCACTGAAGTATTGACAGTTTCCTGTTATCCCATAAGAAAAATTGGATGCATGTACAAATGGGCCCTTCTTTCTAACATACAATTTTATATTAAAGCCATTATATTTAGAGAAGAAAAGGAGAATTTTTTTTAAATGTCTTTGGTTTTTAAAAATTACCTAAGCTTTTCATTCCTAAGGAGACAGGAGGCCAGGAAAACAACTTTAAAATGATCTGAACTTTTCAAAGTAGATAACCTTTGAAAACATGAGGCTGCTTTCATTTGATTTGCAGCATTATTCCATTCTCTATTCATTGATTGAGGTATTCTTCCTTGTGATGCAAGAGTTTGCAAAGTTGCTATTTATTCACACATATGTGAAAAAAGATTGCCACTGGGGGCTTCCCTGGTAGCACAGTGGTTGAGAGTCTGCCTGCCGATGCAGGGGACACGGGTTCGTGCCCCGGTCCGGGAAGATCCCACATGCTGCAGAGCGGCTGGGCCCGTGAGCCATGGCTGCTGAGCCTGCGCGTCCAGAGCCTGTGCTCCGCAACGGGAGAGGCCACGACAGTGAGAGGCCCGTGTACCAAAAAAACAAACGAACGAACAATTTTGATAGTGTCCAGGCATAAATGAATATAAAAATATCTTTAGAGATCATTTTCATCATGAAAAATAGTATCTAGAGAAACCCAGTAGGGGTTTGGTGTAGGTCTTTTTCTTAACTCTTGCCGCGGGGCCGGCGCGCCCGGAGCCTGTGCTCCGCAAAGGGAGAGGCCACAACAGTGAGAGGCCCGTGTACCAAAAAAAAAAAAAAAAAAATATTGCCACTGGGTGCTGCGAAATATCATTATAGTGTGCTGAACTTGACCTAAAAGGAAGAGATTGTCTGTGAGCTTTCTGACTGTTCTCTCGGAGCACCACATTATTTTTACTCTGGGGGATTTTTTTTTTTTCGAGCTGCGCCGCATGACATGCATGATCTTAGTTCCCTAAACAAGGATCAAACCCGTGCCCCCTGCCTTGGAAGCTCAGAGTCCTATCCACTGGACCGCCAGGGAAGTCCCTCTCTGGGAATTTAACAGAAAGTAGGGGGGGCGTAATGAAGACAAGGGCAAGAGCCTGTGGGGTTTTGTTTGTTTTTTGTTTTTGCGGTACATGGGCCTCTCACTGTTGTGGCCTCTCCTGTCGTGGAGCACAGGCTGCGCTCCGGACACACAGGCTCAGCCGCTCCGCGGCATGTGGGATCTTCCCAGACCAGGGCATGAACCCCCATCCCCTGCATCGGCAGGCGTACTCTCAACCACTGCACCACCAGGGAAGCCCGAGTCTGTGGTTTTAATAGTAGCTCTTCAAATGGATACACAGCAGGATCTCTGAGGTAGCACTCCTTTACCTTCTTTATTCTCAGGCGTATTTTATAAGTGTAAATTGTGGACCTCCAAGCAAAACAATGTCTAGAAGAACCTCTTTACCTTTTGTTAGGATGAATTTCCAGCCTGAGATGGGGCTCACTCTTTCGACTCCTTTACACATCATGGTGCTAATTGCGGGGGTTGATTGTGAAAGTGAACAACGAGATATTGTGAGGGCAATGGGAGAGCTGAAGCCAAAGTAAGAAGAGCTCTTGGGATGTATTAAGCCAAGTAGGGTACACATTTGACTTGGTGGGGTGGGGGGAAAGCATAGCCATATCTCTTAACCACCAGAGCTGTATAATGGGGCTCAATAAAAACAAAGCAGATTAATTATGCAATACAAATTATATTTTCTTGTTTTTAATAAATTTATAACTTATTACAATTTCAGGTAAATTTTAAAATTTAGTTTGTGTTAGTTTTAAAATATGCCAAAACAAAGATACTGAATAGAAGGAAAATGAGTATGTTACCCTTTAAACGTGAAGTGTTGGCATTCTTGATCCAACAGTAGCAGCACACGTTTTATTTATTTTTAGTTTATTGAGATGGTTGCACCGTGCTCTCACCAGATTCTTCTGCTAGTTTCAAGTATGTGTCTTTCCCTTAGGAACAGATTTCCCCCATTGCAGAGCTAATTCTCCTTCCCCATAATGTACCCACCCATCTTCACTTCTGTCTTACTTCTGGGCTGCCGTTCTCATTTCTGAAAATGTCGGGTAGCAAATCCGCTGCCCAAGGAGTCAGGCAGGTAATGGGAGGGCTGCGGGTGTTGAACTGAGGGTTTACACAGGGGCCAAGCGGGCAGCTGCCTCTCAGCTCCAGCCCTCATTTCTAATGGGAATACAAGCCTAGGGTGGGAGTTTTTCATAAAACCCCAGAGAGTGGGATTTTTATGTAAAACCTCCCAGGTTTTTGGAAAGAAACTCAAACCACTGTGGGTCATCACGATGAGGTAAGGCAGGTTGTGTGTGGGCTGAATCTGGTCCAAAGGTTGCTAGTCTGCAGCTCCGCTTTAAAACCGAGCTCAGGGAATTCCCTGGCAGTCCAGTGGTTAGGACTTGGTGCTTTCACTGCTGTGGGCCTGGGTTCAATCCCTGGTAGGGAAACTGAGATCCCACAAGCCTCGCAGAGTGGCCAAAAATAAATTTTAAAAACCAAACTCAAATCACATTTCCACAATGCCTCCCTTACCATTCAGCCTTCAGGGGTCTCTGAACTATGCTTCTCTAGTTAGCTTTAAAGATTTGCAGGCTTATTCAATTCTATAATTGTTTAATGTTCACTAGTCTTGTACCTCTGAATAGAAGGAAAGCTCCTGGATGGCACATAATAGACGGTCAGTTACTACGTAGTGGATTAAGCATCTTAGAGCTACGTCAAACTCTTAAGCAGAGACTGCAGGTCAGCTCCTTGAGCATATCTATAAGAACATAAGAATCCCAAGCCACAAGCCTCAGTTCCTAGCCTTTGCTCTACTACTGTTTGACCTTGGACCTACTTCCTCATCTATGTATTATAGGTGTGTATTAGTGATTCCTCAGTTCCTTTCCAGTTCTAAGTTTCTGTGATCTAGTAATTTAAACAACTGAGCTGAGAAAAAGAAGGTATCTTACTGGAACAGTTTAGCCTAAAAGGTCCAAATCTCACCATCCAGGTCTGCTCACTAATCAGACAGTCATTGTCATGGGTACAGGGCTGTTTTACATGATGACAGTGACTTTTCAGGAAAGTAACAGTAGTGATGTGATGACTTTTTCTCACTGGTGCCTCTCCAAGAAGGCTAAGTGGTTATGTGTGTCCTTACAGCCACCCATGCTAGTTCTCTTTCCACCTTGCTGTTACCACTTGGGCTTTGGAAGAGAATGTTCAAGAAGAAATGGTGGAAAAAGTACAGTTTATATACTCCTCAAAGTGGGGGAAGTGCACCAAGTGGACTACAGTTCTGCCCCTTCCTGAAGTCTGAGCTTCAGAAGGTTTGGGGAATTCCAGATTGAGACTGAGAATGTAGTTTCTTCATCTACAAAAACCAGGGGGTGGGAGGGGGGGACAGGAAATTGGAAAAGATAGCTTCCAAAAGCTCCTTCCAGAGCAAACTTCCTCAGAATTTAGTGACTGTAGTAATTTATCAATGTTTTTTGCCATATAACATGCTCTGTACTTTTTTGTTCTGTTGCCTGTAAAATGAACAATGTTGAATTCTGGACATGCAAGAAAGTAGTCTTAGGGCCAACATATTTATTTTGTCATAAACACATATCCAGGTCTCCTCTGTACAAAACATTTTCCCAGATGCTTTCTGTATATTACCCATTTGTCCTTCCAGCAATTCTATATGTAGTACAGTTGTCCTACATTTTACAAATAAGGGGATTAGTGACACCTAAAACCTACTGGCTAGAAGACGCAGATTTGGGACTTAGGACTCTGTTCATTGGATTTATACAATATCTTTTAATATATAACAAATCACATTTATGTTCTGTTGTTCTTTTGATCCAGGTAATAGCCCTGTGAGGTTAGCACAACAGCTCTCATTACTCAAGTTTTATTTTATTTATTTTTGGCTGCGTTGGGTCTTCGTTGCTGTGCGCGGGCTTTCTCTAGTTGTGTCGACGGGCTTCTCATTGTGGTGACTTCTCTTGTGGTGGAGCATGGGCTCTAGGCACGCAGGCTTCAGTAGTTGTGGTGCATGGGCTCAGTACCTGTGGCTTGCGGGCCCTAGAGCGCAGGCTCAGTAGTTGTAGCGCCCGGGCTTAGTTGCTCTGCAGCATGTGGGATCTTCCCGGACCAGGGCTCGTACCTGTGTCCCCTGCATTGGCAGGCGGATTCTTAACCGTTGCGCCACCAGGGAAGCCCTCAAGTTTTATATATAAGGAAACACTTTACATTTGGGTGATATTTGTAAGGTGCAACTCAAAAATAGATGATTGACAATGGCTGTCTCATTTTCTCTAACACATACTCTAAAAGTTCAAAAGCTAATGTTATTTAGCAAAAACATTTTGACTATAGAAATATCTTGTATCAGGACAAGACAGTAGAAAATAGTGGATTTATATTATTTTTTCCCATTGCCAAATAAATACACAACTGTGTGTGTTTTTTAAATTACTTCCAAATACAAACTTTAAGTACATTACAGTCATGGATT